GTCAAAGTACCTGACATAGCAACAGTGATCTGCCTGACATCTGCTGTATCCGGCCTTTTGCATGAAATTATCAAACTTCTTGTACCATTGTCTAGGAGCTTGCTTCAGACCATACAAGCTCTTTTTCAGTCTACAAACTGAATTTTCTTTTCCTTGTACCACGAACCCTTCAGGCTGGTGCATATAGATGTCTTCTTCAAGATCTCCATGAAGAAAAGCTGTCTTCACATCTAATTGCTCCAGGAATAGATCTTCGGTAGCAACCATAGCTAGAACCATCCTGATGGTTGTGAGTTTTACCACAGGAGAAAATATCTTAGAGTAATCAATGCCTTGCTTTTATTGAAAGCCTTTTGCAACAAGTCTGGCCTTATACCTTTTACTGTCATCAGACTCAGTTTTTACCCGGTACACCCACTTATTTTGCAATGCCTTCTTCCCTGGGGGAAGTTCTGTCAGCTCCCATGTCTGGTTTTCTAATAGGGAATCCATCTCCTCCTTCATGGTCAGCTCCCATTTGCTAGAATTTTCATCTGTTAAGGTTTCTTCATAGCTCTGTGGTTCCCCACTGTCTGTCAGCAAGATGTAGTTTAAAGTTGGTGAGTAACGCTGTGGTGAACGCCTGCTCCTGACTGACTTACGAACGATCACTGGAGTAGTAAATGACTCTGGACCTGTCTGCGGAATAATAGGAATGGGTGCCCCGGACCCATTCTCCTCCTCACTCTCATGTTCATCTTGCTCTGTGTCCTCTGGTAGATCATCGAATTCCACGAACTCTGACTCCCAAGGAGCTACTCTAGAATTTGTATTGGCCTTGTCCTTGTACATCATCTTCTCATTGAAAATCACATTTCTGCTTCTGATAATTTTCCGATCCTGATCATCCCAGAAACGATAACCAAATGTTTCGTCTCCATAACCAATGAAATAACATTTCTTTGACTTAGCATCAAGCTTGCTACGTACATCAGGATTGATTAGCACGTCTACATAACCAATGAAATAACATTTCTTTGACTTAACATCAAGCTTGTTACGTACATCAGGATTGATTAGAACATAAGAAAGACAACCAAAAGTCTTAAGATAAGAAAATTTGACTTCTTTGCCGCTCCAGACCTCCTCAGGTAATTTACAGTCTAATGAGACAGATGACCCTCTGTTGATCAGGTAAACTGCAGTGCTGACCGCATATGCCCAGAAGGTTGGTGGTAGTCCTGCGTACAATCTCATGCTCCTAGCACGCTCATTGATGGTCCCGTTCATGCGTTCTGCAACTCCATTTTGTTGTGGTGTCCCCGGAATGATCTTCTCCATTCTGATACTTTGAGCTGCACAGTACTCCTTGAACCCACCATCAATGTACTCACCACCATTGTCAGATCTCAAACATTTCAGTTTTAGATCTGTCTCTGTTTCAACCATAGCCTTCCAAGTTTTGAACACAGAAAATAAATCAGATTTATGCTTTAGAAAGTAAACCCATACCTTTATGTTGTGGCATCTATGAATGTGACGTAATAGCAAGAGCCTCCAAGAGATGCCACTAGGGAAGACCCCCACACATCGGTGTGTATCAGTTCTAGTTTTCCTGCATTTGACACTCTGTCACCTTTCAGGAAACTGACCTTCTTCTGCTTCCACATGATACAACTTTCACATATGTCGAAATCAACGAACTTTAGTTCTGGTAGCTTGCCTCTGGACTAAAGCTCTTTCATACCTCTCTGACTCATGTGTCCAAGTGTGCAATGCCACAAGTCTGTTGTGCTCTCTGCAGCTGTGGTATCAACATTGTTAATTAAACCAGTTGTCATATATAGCGTACCAGTCTTCTTACCCCGAGCCAGTACCAGTGCTCCTTTAGTAACCTTCCATGTGTATCAGAGAACACTACTGAATGGCCTCCCTCATCAAGCTGCCAAACAGATATGAGGTTCTTTTTCAGTTCAGGAATGTGTCTAACCTTTTGCAGGATCCATTTATTTCTGTTAGGGAGTGCAATTTCAACATCTCCCATCCCCACCACGTTCAAAGCTGCTCCATCAGCCAGGTACACTTTTTCAAAGTCACCTGAAACATAGTTTCTCATTAACTCCCGGTGAGAAGATGTGTGAAAAGAAGCCCCTGAGTCCAGTATCCAGTCGTCAACAGAGTTATGAACTGCAAACAATAGCGCATCCTGCACTTCTTCAGTTACAGCGTTAGCACTGACGTTTTCCGTCTTCTTAGGATTTTTACAGTTCTTCTTTATGTGGCCAATTTTGCCACAATTCCAGCAGGTTTCTTGTTGACCAGGCTTTGACTTGCTCTTGCTTCTATGTTTTGATTTCGACCTTCCTCTGTTTGAGTTCCTGTCTTGTGATCTCCCTCTGAAATCAACATTCAGTGCTGAACTCGAACCCGAGATCTCGCCAGAATCTTTCCTGCGCACCTCTTCAGCAAGAATTAAGTCACGAATATCATCATATTTAAGTTTGGTTTTACCTGCAGAGTTGCTAACTGCCATCCGCATAGCTTCCCAGCTATTTGGCAATGAAGCCAACAATATCAGTGCACGAATCTCTTCGTCAAAATCAATTTCAACGGACGATAGTTGATTTGTAATAGTGTTGAAATCATTCAAATGTTGAACAACCGACACACCTTCCGCCATTTTCAGGTTGAATAACTTTTTCATCAAGTGCACCTTGTTATTCGCAGATGGCTTTTCATACATACTTGATAAAGCCGTCATAAGATCTGCCGTCGTCCTCTCCTTTATGACATCTTCTCCGGTCGTTTTCCCAGTAGTGGAAGATGAAGTTTCTTCCCATAGAGGTAATCCTCTATCTGCATCCTCCAGTATCCAAAATCTGTGTCATCGAACTTCTCGATCCCTGAAACCTTCACTTCGTCTCCGGCCATCGTTCTTCCTCAGATCTGAACCGGGCTCTGATACCAATTGTTATGAAAAACAACGACAATAAAGCGAAAAACAGATCGAGAAAAATCAAAAAACATCAGACACTAGAAAAAGGGGCGACACAAGATTTACGTGGTTCGGCAAATTGCCTACGTCCACGGAGCTGCAGAGGATTTTATTAGCTTTGAGGAAATTACGTCGTCCGTCGTCGGACGATTACAAGAATAAAATTCTTCTCTTTTTTATTCTATCCTCTCTTTTATTCTATCCTCTCTCTCTCTTCTCTCTCTATCTAGTCACGTGAGAAAGAACAAAAAAGGAGCAAAGAAATAAAAAAGAAGACTTTTCTGCCAAAAAGCAAAGCAAAAGAAAACCTTTTTCTGCCCAAAAAAGGTGAAGGAACCTGCTCCTTGTTTCAGCCGCAAGAGAGAGGTTAATTTGTTGAGATGTGTGCTTAAGGGACTTGTTTAGCTTTTATAATGATCAAGAAGCATGCATTTAAGGAAATGCATTAAAACATCCATGCGGAGAGCATTTTTTCTGCAATTAGGTTCCGCGGAGAGAGAACAACGGGAGGCGGGAAGCACAGAGAAGAAGCGGGAAACCTTATTTAGGAAGTTAATTAATCCCATAATTAACACTAATGATTTCCTAAAGGAGGAAGTGCACAGGGCTCCATATCCTCAACATCTACCTCAAAAAAATGACCTGAAATATCTTAGAAGCTAGAATTTTGAAATAAAAATGGATTTGTCATATTTCGATAGACACATGGATCCAGATGAGTGCATCAAATGGCTCTGGACCTTGGAAAGTGTCTTTGGACGTCTCACAAGTCAAAATGATGAAACTAGCAGATAATGAATTAAAGAGTGCATTATTTCGGTTGCAAAATTTGAATTGCCCACGCCAGCATGAGGGAAAAAAATAAGATCACTACCTGGTCCAAGAAGAAATAGGAGATGCAGCGTCAGTTCATACATGTTCGCTACAGACTGGATATTCAAACCCTAGTTTGGAAAGTAGAGAGACCAATTGACCGGACAACTATCATATCTTCTTAAAACCAAAATATACCCATGGGAACATCCAAGTTCACCATCCTGAAGAAATATTGATTCAAAGTAGAGAATAAGTTGAGCAAACTAGTATTCCTAAATCTATACCAGCTAAAAAGTGTTTCAATTACCACGGATTTGGACATATTAAAGCAGATTGCACACCCAGGAGAATGATATATTTCACTAAGCATGGAACCGTTGAAGAAATGAACAATGGCACCATAGAAATAAAAAAGAGCAAGGACAAGAAAGAGAAGTACTTGTTGCCAGCCAACGAGGAGACGTCATCGATTCTAGTTGAGCCCAGGAGAGACATTTAAACTGAGTTGACAGTAATTGTTCTAAAAGATAGTGAGCCTGAGGTAATAGGCGTTCATGCAGGGTATGAGATTGGGATGCCTCAAGCTACCGTTTTATAGGCGTTGAGAGGAGCATCAATAGGATTGACATTGGATGTCCAAAAAAGTCATAAGTTTGAGGAGTTGATATCAAACACAGGGCAACCCCAAATAAGGGAAATTCAAACTTTTTAGATCTATAGACTCTTTCCTGAATTGTCCTTATTGAAGGAGTTCCAGCGTATCAAAAATGAGGCCTTTTTGCGCCACGTATGGAAGATTATATGGAGTTACTCAGATATTAGATTCAGTTCAGCAGTGTATCCACCATTAGATGTCCAGACAAGAATGATGAACTGTAGGTTTAAAAATTGTCGTAGGAGCTTAATGGGAAAGAAAATCTTATTGTGGGATTTAGGTCATAATAGAGAAGAAGTTGCTCTGGAGTGGTTGCAAGGAAAGTGGCTTAGCCTACCATAAATTTCATTCAAGATTTGATTTCTCCTCACACTGGTTTATGAGATAAATCCAGCCAAGTACTAGGATTGGGAAAAACATATTATAAATTTACTTGTTTGGGATTGGGCTCGTGAGAATCTATGTTATTATGCAGTTTTAGTACAAGTTATGCCAAAAGTGGATGGATAGTTATTTTATCAAGAGGTGCTTTGAAATGACAACACCTACATGATTGATTTACTGGGAGCTTAGAATATTTTATCTACTTTCAATAAGGCCGACCTAACTACAATGAGGAGACAAGCTTCGTCGGATGAGTTCGAAGCTCCCCCAAGGAAACTGACGTGGCAGCGACCCACGACAACTTTTTGCAATCATTGCTACAATACCACAAACTCCTGGGAGAAAAGGTAGCTTGGACCGGTTCATGAGGGTCGTTCAAACCTTCCTTTACATGAATTTCCCTCCTATTGGGAAAAGGCCCACTCCTAGATCTATAAATATGTTGTTTTGCATTTTTAATTAGTTTTCGTGTGTTTTGTTTAGGACAATCGTCGGCGTCTGTTCTTCACACTTCAAGCACTGTATCAGAGGGATTGGGTGGTGTTCTGATTGTATCTCTATCATGAAGTAATAATTATCTTCCCCTATCCCCTTCTGCATCATCCCACATCCCTCCCTGTCACCCAAACTCTGTTGCAGCCTCCCGGAACAACTGTCATATTGTTTCTTTTTGTTGTTTTCTAAGTTCAAGCCACTGCCATCTGCTTTTCTACTTTTTCCGCCATCCAGGCTAGCAATGAGTTGTTTTCTCTGCCTTTTCCTGTCTTTCCCGCCACCATGCCTCCCCTTCCAACGTGCCATTGCCTCCAAAACGAGCGCCCTACCCGTTCCCACGTGTTGTCACATTCCATAATTTGCCTCCCTTGATGTCGCAACCATTACAACCGCCCTTACCACTCTCCACCACTACCTAGCTGCTGTCCCAACAGCTCCCCATGCTGTCCTCACTGTTACAGCCATCCAAATCCATTCCCCATACCACTTTGTCACTGTTCTAGCCCCCGACAAGCTTTACTGCAAGTCACCCACCTTTTAGAAACCTTACCTACTTAATCCTCCACCTTCTAACACCCCAACCTACCCATTCCAGCTCACCAACCTCCATCACCCTTGGGATATATTTTAGTTGAGTTTGCTTGTTTTTGTTGTTACATTTCCCCATAAGCATGAGTTGAAACCGTCTAATTGGCTTTGCAGAAATAACATTTGGTTTTAAAATTTTATGAACAATGGAATAGATAAAGTAATATTAATCCCTCAATGCGAAAAAAATAAATAATTACAATAATATTTCATGCCCAGTGAACCCAAAAAAAAAGTGTTCCTTTGCATTCAAAGTCATGTCTAGAACTGAATGAAAGCACAAAATTAGAGCAGGCGATGTATCATGACTTTAAAAAGATAAAAAGCCAAGATAAAACATGGCATAAGCATGCATCAGAATGTACATCCTTCACCTCACGCAGTGGCATAGAAGCTTCATGAAAAAAAAAAATAATAAATAATTTATATGTTGCACTTTTACCATTAATTTCATATTTATTATTATTAGCATGAAAACTTTGAAAGGTGCTCTTGTTCTACCGATAAAAAAGAATTACATTGCCTAAACGCCATAATAACAAAAATCCCTTGATCTAGTATGCTAAGAAGAAAACCTGATGGTATGCCTTGGGTTGCTTGTGTTTGTCGTTGAACTGGTTCTGCAACAAGATACGCCTGCAGAATATCAAATCAGTACATTGATTCAATTCTGATGGATATTTTCTATTCAAAACTAAGAAATGAGAATTCCAAGCATAACTGCATTACCAAAACATATGGTGCTTGCAAGAAAGGTGACACTAAGACCTTACAAACATATATGGTTTAAGCCTTGATGAGAGAGAAAAGCTTCGGAATCCTCTCAGACTTAAGTGTCAACAAAGTACAGGATTAATGTGATATGACCAAATTACAGTTGTAACTGCAATAATTCTGAAGGATTCTTTCTACAATTACCTTTCTTTAACAGGATTTGATCTTCTTTTCATTCTTTTTAAGGGATGTTGACCTCAAATTTGAGGTCTTCCTTTCTCTTTCCTTAGATACCCTAAGATCTAGCCTTAGGATTTTTCTATTTTGACTCTCCTGGAGGACTAAACCGGAGCCCACAATATTTAAAATTTCAAGTCATTTCTTCACTCCTTGAAGTTTCATATTGACGGTTTCTAATCCTCGACGTCTGACGGTTTCTAATCCTGACGGTTTCTAATCCTCGACGTCTAGTTGAGTCAATTAAAGTTGACATATTGAAGCTCATGTTGAGTTCCCATAGAGATTTAAAAAACATAGATAAATCTCATGAAGTATGTGACGTTTGACTTTCTGTCGCGAGCAGTTTACTTGACTTTGGTTGTCGCTTATGTGAGGACCGGTAAATGATATATTCGTTAAGCGGCTGCGATCGAACCAAAATAACTCCATTTCGCGCACAAGTTAGAGTTAAATTAGCGCGATCGTAGGTGAACTTTTTCGGGTGACCCAGGATGACGAAACGGACCGCACGATCACATTCGGAACAACGATTTTACATAGAGTAGATACCCATGTTTATATAATTTCACGCACTACAAATAACATTCACACCGTGATTTTTTTAAATAATAAATATTATAAAATAATTTAAAAAAAATTTAAAAATATCTATATAAATTCACACACCCATTCACTTTGTCCTTTCTTTCTAATTCACACATCATACTTTGGATGCTCCATATTGATTATACTCCATACTTGGATTCACTCAAATTTGGCTATAAAATCCTTTTTATAATCTTGTTAATCCATTTCAAATTTTCAAATCTAAGCCAAGTTCAAATACCTTTGACTTCACCAAATTTTGAATGAATTTGGAGTTTTCTTGGAAACACATACTTTGATGAACTTACTTGAGCATTGCAACAATTATTTCACTTTGAATAGGGCTGTCAATTTGGCTCGTTGTTCGTGAACAGCTCGTTAAACAGCTTGTGTTCGACTCGTTCATTAAGTCTAACGAGTCGAACACGAACTAATTTTTAAGCTCGAAATGTAAACAAGCCGAACATGAACAACAGTTTGTTCGCTCGTGTTCGGCTCGAAATGGCTCGAAAAAAATTATATAACTTTTTATATAACAATATATTACATATATTATTTATATAATAATATTATATATATTTATGTCTAAGTTTAAATCATAACACCTCATGTGGCAATGTAGTTAGTGTCTTCTTTTATATACATTTGATCTAGATTTGAATCCCACACTTTACATCTATTTTTATCAATTTTAGTTTAACGAGCCAATTTCGAGCCGAACGTGCCGAACACGAACACACTGTTCATGAGCCGATTTCGAACACGAGTTGATTTCGAACACGAGCTATTTCGAACGAACCGAACACGAGTCTAGCCTTACTATCACTCGGCTCGTTTACAGCTCTACACACAAGAAGACTAAAATAAATTAGAACTATGAAAGAGTTCTACTTTAAACAATAAATAAAGTGAGAGAGCGAAAACATCAAGAAAACTAAGATTACAAGCTAGCCCAAGCTCATTTGTTGGCTTCCAAAACAAGCTACCACCAACATCTCCCCTGACTATAAATAACTAATTATTTCTTCAAAACCTAGGGGCTTCTTCTTCTGGGTCAACTCCAATTTTGTTTTCCTGCCGCGGTTCTTTCTTGCATGCGATTCTTTCTTCCCGCTCTTGCCTCTTCCCCCTCCGCCGAAAGTGTGCCTGATCGGGATTAGAAGAGATGATTTGATGCTCGTCGGGAAAAAAGACGGGGAAGCAGGTTCTGGGGTCAACACCCATCAATCTTTCCACAAGTCCTGAAGGGATCATGGCTCTCTGTGCTGATGTAGAAATAGAGCACACTGACGACAAGATATTGATGCTTACCTGGAGGATGCATGCTGGGAGGCAAGGATATTTTACCCTCAAAGAATGGAGAAGAGACGATAATCTGGATCAATTCCTTCTCCCTCGATTCTTATTCCAATAACCGACAAGGATTTACACAAACAAAAAAAAACGGTATGATACAGAGCTTTGGTTATTGTTGCAAGTAAATGGTAGGGGAAGAAGAAAATTGCTGTCTCTTTTCTTGATATCATATTTGAATTCTCACCGGAGGAGGATTCATCGCCAAAGAAAATTGTTGTCATCGTTTCTCTAACTCCTCCGTTGGCTAATGCTAGTTTTGATTGCAAATCTGCAACGATCCTGGGGTTACTTTCTGCGGCCATCTTTACTGTTAATGTTGTATCTACTGCTAGATTTAATCTACCTCTGGCAGCGTCTTGCGTTGGCAATGATTTGGTTTCTTCATGATCGAACTCGTTGATTTGAGATAATGATGTTTTGGTTAAAGTGGTTCTTCGGTTTCCTCCGTTGTCATGGCAATGATAGTTCTCTCACCGTCTCTGCAATCATTCTCCCGATGCCAGTGAATTGTTTGTTTTCTACAAGAATGAGCGTTATAAAATGGCTGACAACTTGTCATTAGAATGGAACGAATTTGGTTTGGGATAAGACATAAGATCTTGTATATGTTGATCAGCCTATGGAACTGGATTTAGTTATACTGTAGACCAACGTGATAGTCATCACGATTAAGCTGGTAAGAATCTTATGCTGGATATTACATTCGCTTTTGCAAGTCGTGTTCACCAAGGAAACAAAGCTAAAGAGGGCATCTACATCAATTTAAAGGGATTCACCATTGGTAATGGAGTCATTGATCCTGTTACCCAATATAAAGATTCTCTGTACTATGCATTGCAAATGTGAATAATAAATGAATCAGACTATAAAAGACTCAATCAAATAGTTCGAGTTTGTGAGGTGGCCATTAAGCTTTGCGGTATTTCTGGAAGAATTGCTTTCTTTGCTTCATATTTGGTTTGCAACGTAACTTTTAGTTCAATATCGAGGATTGTTGGAAATATCAATTATTATGACGTCAAAGAGGAATCCCCACTGTATACAAAGTCTGTGCTTTCATGGCTTCATGGTCAGGAGTGAGTTTACAGCTGTCATCTCTTTTCAGAATCCCTTGCTGAGCTTCTTTGGAATGTCCAAGCATTTGGACTTCGTACAGAAACTATTTGATGAAATGCCTGAAACGCTTGCAAGTTGCTCGGATAGAAAGCTTTTTTACAGTCTTGTGGAGCTCACAGTAAGTTCATAAGAAAGTGCATTGCTGAGAATTTCTAATTGTTTCCTTTTATACATTGATGTCCCGAGATGAAGGTATGCTTCCCGTCTTTTTTGCTTCATTTTATTGTTACACAAATTCCACTTAGATATATAGATTTACAAAGATTTACATGCATACCACCCAACTCTTATGTATTTACATATCTAACACCTAAATTTTACTCTTTACATTAATATCACTTAAACCTTTCACGTCACATAAAAATATTATCATTTTAAAATTTCAAATTAAAAATACTTCTCATGCATAATTAAGGTGACATATATGTATAAATGAAAGTTTGAGCGTTAGACATGTAATACATGAGAATGGTGTAAATTTCCATTAGATTGTTTTTATGAAACCCCAATTGTTCTGGGAAAGAAAATTTGAAACTTTTAAACCTCCTTCATTTGTAGGAAACATACACACTTTGCACAAAATTCTTATGTACTTACACATCTCAAACCTAAACTTTTACATTTGCATACACAGCAGTTCAGTATTTTCAATATATACAATGAAAATTGTATTTCGTTTAAAAATTTAATAAGAATCTTGATATTTTGATATGATAATGAGAATTTTAGTACTGTGTATGTAAATATGAAAGCTCAAATGTAAGATATGTTGAGACAGAAGAATTGAGTGGATTATAAGTAAACCTTTCAATTATCACATCACACGCATAGTCAATTTTTTTTAACTAAGCCATTTATGCATACTTAGCACTTTATCTTGTTCCCAAATTCTCATATAAATTTTCCTGTGCGCCCTTGCGAGGTAGACCTGGTCACGGTCAAGGCATTGGAAGAGCATGAAGCTATCCAAGAGCAGACAAGACGGAACGACATCAAACTTTGCATCGGTGAGATCAATCCAAAACCACTTGACTTTTATTGTAAAATATTTTCTTAACTTTTAAATTCTTAATATAAATATTGAAACATTTAAATTTATAAACTTTCAAACCCAAATCAACAATAACAAACACAAATTCAAAACACATTGTAAAGAACACATTAAATATCTGTAATAAGTCATTTTAGATATGTTCTATCTTCTCTCTCTCCTCTTCTCGGAACGAGACGACGACGTGGTCGGTTGACGATTCATCTCTAAGAGACGGTCGAGACGACAACAGAAGGTGGAAAGAGGAGCTTCGACTGAACCTCGATAGATTTAAATAACATACCTATAAGACGTTGAGGTCGTTCGTCTGGCACGATGTAAAGTTGTCGGTCAACTTTTTGTTTTGATTTGAAAACATGGTATATGAAAATAATTTTTGAAATTTAATTTAATATAATAGATATATAGTTTTGATTTTTAAAGTAATATGTTTTAATTTTCGAAAAAAATGAGACCCAATGGATCTCATTTGTACAATAGTTTGCATAATCGTAGCCGATATCGCGAATACTACACCCTCCCGAAAGATAAGTGTAGATCTCGGCGATAGACCCAATCCTGCAAACTAAGAGAT